AAGATTTCACTGTTCGACAAACGTGTGCACGCTGAAGAAATCGAGGTCTTGTGCTCCAAGTTTCTAATAGCAAACATTGTTACTACTAGTAAGGCCCAGTAAGGCACTTGTTACTACTGGTAAGGCACTTGTTACTACTAGTAAGGCACTTGTTTCTAATAGCTTCTTGTTATTACTAGTAAGGCACTTGTTTCTAATAGCTACTGTACTTGTTTCTAAGATCGAGTGAAAATCGAAGCTGAAAAATGCCAAGTTGCCAAAGATGCTGAGGTCATCCAGATTCATCACGAAAACCGAGGAGCATCCCTCCCTCAGCAGACCTTGATCTTTGGCTCTCCAGTGGAGTTATAGATTCAGAAGCTATTGGAAACAAGTGCCTCGCTACTAGGAACAAGTGCATCGCTTCTAGTAACAAGTGCTTTACTAGTAGTAACAATGTTTGCTATTAGAAACAAGTGCATCGCTTCTAGTAACAAGTGCCTTACTAGTAGTAATAATGTTTGCTATTAGAAACAAGTGCATCGCTTCTAGTAACAAGTGCCTTACTAGTAGTAACAATGTTTGCTATTAGAAACAAGAATTAAATCAACATTCCTGTCTCAGCCAAGGACCTCCAGACGACCCCGCTGTGTGGTTTTCTCTCCGGAGACGGTTGAGCAAGCGCAGAAGGCCAAAAGCGTCTGACGGAAAAGTTTGTCTAGCTACAAAGATCGAGGAGCCATCGTTTACAGTATCCTAATAACGATGGCCTCCAACCTAATAGCCCACAGATGATTGACCGTTTACTCGGTTTACTCCGTTTACTGTATCCTCTCACCACTGTGTTTGGCACCCTAGCCACGTCTCAGTGCCGCTGTGGTGCTTTGTCATTCGTGGCAACTTAATCACAACACAGACCCCGTGAACAATGGTCCACCCCCGCAATGATGAACTGCTTTCCTTCTTCCACGGGATAGGCATAGTCTTAAATGGCCAATGTGTTTGCTTCTGACAAACCTCAAGATCAATTTACTGCAAGTGCGCACTCTAGGAAGTGATACATAGATCCTGGTGTCCCAAAAATTGATGCGCTATGAGCTATGAAAAGAAGCGACAAGTCCATTTAGGGGGAATGGGAACACGGTTAACTGTGCACAGACTAAGCAGCTTTCGGGAACTGGTGGAGGTAAACGGGAGCAGGTTGAAAACGTTGACAGTGCAGCATTCCACCACAAGTTCGTGCGTTAACCCCTTGTGGAGTCCGTTGGCTTGTATCAGCAGGCTGATTGTATCGGAATCGGCTCTTCTTTATAGTCTTTGATGACTGTCGAACGGATGATGTAGTTGAACTGCTCTTTGGAATTGGAGTGAGCACCTAATTGGTGCTTCAAGCACCTCACCATTCACCTAATCCATCGTCCTCCCTTTGGTCCGGTCGTTGCCAGGCGCACACTGTTTGGTTCGGCCCTCAGCTGATGAAAGAAACGCGAGACTTGACGCACTGACACGGCATCCACGGCCGTTTTGGACAGTCTGACCAGGCAGATTGACCACCACGAGAAGACGGTCCGTGAGGTGAAGCCTAGTGATTTGAACCATCGCTTTGAGCCGATGAGACCTGCCCAAGCAGGTTAGAAAAAGGCGACCCGAACCAAACGGGTGAGAAGTCTAACGCATTTTTGCTGCGAACGCCTAGAGTAGACGATGCTTCGAATTGCATGGTTTTGGGGTGCACATCTTGTGTCCGTTTACGGCGCAAAGGTCGCTTTGGTCCCTTCGAGTAGCGTTCTGACGTCGTTCTGACGAGGAATTTGTTTCACAAGTGTAGCACGAACGAAGCTGCGAGGCAAAGCGGGTTGCACAGGGAGGGCTCGTGTGATTGGCTCGTGTGCGAGCGGTTTTGTGCGAAGATTTCATGCAAAAGCAACGGTGTTTGGCAGAAGGGCCCGCTAGAGGACTTAATTGTAGATGATCTCAGATATGTAGCAGCGCAAGTATACGCAAGTCCTTTTGCTTTTGGCCCTTTTAATTTGATGTTGGACGTGTTTATGAAACAAGCGGTTGGAAATGGCCAAGAGAACCATCCTTAAGAACTATTTTCACACGGCAGAGTGATGCTCCTGTATTGTCTTCATGAAACACGTGGTCAGAACAGCGTGACTGAAACCTTTGATGCTCAACATCAACGTGAATCCAGTGCTGTAAGCTGTTTTGTTGTCAGAACCCAGAAGAACCCAGCATCTACATCAGCCAACAAGTGCAGTCCATCAGCAGATCAACTGTTGATCAACTGCCAACAAGCTGATAACTGGCCAAGATCCCAACAGAAGTGGTTAACACTGGAGTATTCACAAATCAAACAAGCCGCACAAAAACGCTCGAAAGGACACCCGTGGAAAGGAACATCAGGGAAATTGGGAGAACAATGTCGGAGAAAAAGAAGATCTCAGCATTGAGAAGGAGTTGAGGCAACATATGGCAACATAAGCTTAGATTGAGGTCAGTGACATAAACAATATATATATATATATATGTATATCTATAATCATATTAATCCAATGGCTTAAACAACTTCTTGAAACAGTCAGCATCCCAAGCACTGCCTTTAATGCATTGTTGCGCCAGCACTTGATCGAGAAAGCTTCCAAATCTGATTCCGACATGGAAACATTCTGGGTTAACGTTTTGTTAGGACTCATACGACTCATGTGTGGCAACATGACATAAGAAAGAATAACATCATGTGCGTTCTTGCAGTTCTCCAGGTCGAAGTGGCATCAAGACTGGGACGTAGCAGATGATCGAACTGTTTGTTTATCCTTACTTTTATATCTTTACCTTCCTTTGACTCTTTCTTTTCGAATTCCCCACATTTGTGTGGGGTTCTTGTTTTCTTGCGGCATCTCCTTCCTTTCGCCGGGCACCAGTGAGCATCGAACCGTGCACGGATGCTCGGGCATGTGTTCCAGAGCCCCTAGTAGCGTCCTTGCTCCTAGTAGTAAGGCCAGGAGCCCCTAGTGCGCACTGGCCAAAACATGTTTCAGACACACATAAACGCAGTTTACTTGGCTGAACTCACCCTTAGCTCATGTCATTTGAATTCATTTGATCATTTTACTGTAACTCAACTCACTTCACGTCGGCTCAACTCAGCTCACACAACTCTGTCACTCTTCTCACTTCAAATCACCTCCGCTCGACATGTGGCTTTGTTTTTGCTCTCTATTTCGTTGGGCATGTTGTGACATAAGCAAGGCTACAAGTGTGGGGTTATCCGGAATTAATTCTTTGCACCTTTTGACCTTTCATGTGTCTTTCTTCATTCCTTTGCACCAGGGTTTTGTGGGTTGATGGCACTACCGAAGAGTGAGGAATAAGCATGCCGAAGAAGAGTGTGGAAGACAAGAGTAAGGAATTATCTCAAGAGTGTCAAGGAGCTCTGTGATTTCATAGAACTGATCTTTCTTCCTTACAGGCCTGTCCACTTTTCTTACCTTTAGACCTTTTGATATTTGGTTTCCTTGGTGTCTTTCGTCAGACCAGACCTTTCCTTTGTGTCCGCATACTGTGTTTAAAACTTCATATGTCGTGGGTGAGGCGCAAATGGCTTGCGAGGCTGTGAGGCTTTCTGGAAGGCTTCTCCGCATCCGGAGAAAACAACTGCAAGAAGCTAGTAGTAACAAGTCATCACTATTAGGAGCAGGTGCATCGCTACTAGTAGCAAGAAAGCGATAACAACCTAACAGCAATGGCCTCCAACCTATAAGCATGGCTTTGGGTCGCCATGTGTGAAGTCTTACACTGCTCTTCATCCTTAGCACAAGCAGTCGTACCAAAGCATAATTGGCGCTAGCGCTGTGCAAAGCTCCGTGTTGTTTCAGTGTTTTGCTGCGGGTTTTGTATCAAGAAGGGTGCACGTCGTCCATTCCTTTGTGTCTCGGCAGGCCGGGTTTTGCAGAAGATGTTTTTCTCTTTTCTCGCATGTTTTCTACACCATTCTAGCTGGGAACGAGTATGAAGCCCCAAAAAAATATTTTTGTGCAAGGCTACAAGGAAGGGAAGGCTTGGAAAAGGACTTTGGTTTTTCAACTTTTGTGCGTTGGACAAGCTGCAACCATTTCTCTCAGGCGTCATGGAGGGTGTTTGCCTTGGAAAATGCATGCCAAAGGCAGATCTTGCAAGGAGAGCAGGTTGAGACCGGGCTTCGTGTTCGATGCCGGATGCCATGCGGCATCCACGTGTCTATCTTTGCTTCCGTCATGAAGGATTCCTAATCCGAGAACTTGGGTCACAGGTACTCCCTCCTTACATCTCCTTAGTTAACAAGGAGATTCTTGCAAATCTCACCAGCAAGAATGCGTAGAGCCGATCTCTCGTTCAGGATGAAAAATTTGAGCGAAAGTGAAGAGATCCAACTCTTGCGGGAGCAAGTGAGGTGGAGCGAAAGTACCTTTTTGTGCAAGTTGTAAATATGCTCTTCACTGTCTCGAATATTCTCCGATGCTCAGGAGCAAGGACGCTACTAGGAACAAGTGCCTTACTAGTAGTAACAATGTTTGCTATTAGAAGCAAGTGCATCGCTCTGATATAGATGATTCGTGCACTCCGATGCTCGGAGCTATGGAGCGGTACTTTCCGCCAGGGATCTTTCTGAGATGAACCTAGCTCTCCGTCGAGAGCTGCAAGTGACCTTGGGGTATGCTTGTTTGTGGCCAGCTAAGTAGGCAGCTAGGCTGAAACGGTGAGATCGAGAACTGATTTCCATTACTTTATATTTCTTCTTAAGTGAAGCTCAAACAATGTGAGGGTGTCAAAACAAGAACCTATATGGTTTTAAATCTACTTCATTTATCGATATGTCGACTGCGTCGCTGGGAAGCTCAAGGGCACAAAACTGGAGTTGAAGAAGTGCTCGAACTGCTTTGCTCACGAAGTTGAAATGCCCTGAACAGCTTCTTTGTCACTTTGGACACAGAAACTGCTGAGATGTGTTGTTTTAAACACGCTCTTTATGTGAGCACCACGGACTCGTTCACCTCACGGCAGTGTCTTCGGCCATGGGATGTGCAACTACTGACACCCGTGCGCCAATGGCAAAGGTTGCAGCACAGGACACCGTTGCTTGAAAACCTTTAGTGATGGTGTTGATGCCCCAATCCGATTCACCTTTCACAGGATACAGATGCCAAACTGAAGTATTGGGCAGCTGATGATCCCTATTCCTTCTCCTCTCATGTGCGGCATGCTGCGAAGAGGCACTTGGAAGATAGCGTTTGACCACGGCACACAGCAAGTCAGCCGTACAGATGGGTGTGTGGGAAAACGAGCGAGGAGTTGGCAACGAGCCATCGAGCTTCTCGCATTGCGTCCCGCAACTTGCCGGATTTGTGAAGCATAGCTTAGCGAAGCGACGGAGTGGTGTTCCTTTTCGTTCATTCCATATTGACGTTTTTAGTAACAAGAAGCTACTAGGAACAAGGGCATCCCTACTAGGAGCAAGGATGCTACTAGTAGCTCCTGGCCTTACTACTAGGAGCAATAAAACTAGCAGGAACAAGGGCATCGCTACTAGTAACAAAGGGCATTACTACTAGGAGCATTCTTACTATACACTAGTAACAAGAAGCCTTTTCGTTATTTAGTCGGCTTTTTAGTAAAACTTTGCGCACCAAGACTTGGGACGTAGTGAGTTGCAGCTGTGCTTTGAGATGTCCCTGGTCACAAGCGTTAGCCTTGATGGCAGCCATAGCCAAGAAGGAGACCATGGTAAACTCAGGTTCAAAAGGAAGCACTTTGTCTTGTTTTGTTCCATGGCTACTAGGGTGGGGGCCATTGCTATTGAGGTGGAGGCCATTGCTTAGCTTGAAGGCCATTGCTATTAGGGTGTACGCCATTGCCAATAGGGTGGAGGCCATTGCTACTAGGTTGGAGGCCATTGCTATTAGGGTGGAGGCCATCGCTATTAGAGTGGAGGCCATTGCTAGTAGGTTGGAGGCCATCGCTGCTAGGGTGGAGGCCATCGCTAGTAGGTTGAAGGCCATCGCTGCTAGGGTGGAGGCCATCACTAGTAGTTTGGAGGCCATCGCTACTAGGCCATCGCTAGTAGTTTGGAGGCCATCGCTACTAGGGTGGAGGCCATCGCTAGTAGGTTGAAGGCCATCGCTACTAGGGTGGAGGCCATCACTAGTAGTTTGGAGGCCATCGCTACTAGGGTGGAGGCCATCACTAGTAGTTTGGATGCCATCGCTACTAGTGTGGAGGCCATCACTAGTAGTTTGGAGGCCAT